ATGGTTGGTGGTGCTGGTGGGGTATTTTTCCCTCCAAAATAATCAATAACCTCAGCTGGACTTACAGGTAGATGGAGGTACACTGGCCATTACGATTAGGTCTTTAGAACCATTGTCTTAATAATAGTAAGATTTTAACTTCTAGTTCTGATCTGGATGGGCCACAACGTGGCTGACTAAGCCTGTCAAATTGTGCTTTGTTTGACACAGGAGCCAAAAGTCTCATTTTCTGCCCCACATGCATGCAGCAGCTGGGCCATTGCACATTGCCAATGCCACCAAAGCAGCCTCTGCTGGAATTCGCAGGCAGGAGGGGCAGGAGAGGGCAGGAGCAGGTGGGGTGGGGGGCAGGCATAGCAGCTTTTAGACTGACACTTTGCCTCCAAATGCCTGTCATATTAGGTGGGCTTAATTTATTTTAGCTTCAGTTTAATTAACAGTTTTGTCACAGCAGGAGGGCTGTTGAAAACAAAGAAGTTTTGGGGTTTTTTTTAGAAAAAAAAGCAGGATTTTTGTCAACTTTTCCTTTTTTTTTTTGCCATATTGAATGTGAGCCACAAAGCAGTAAAATATTCCGCAGTCTCACACAGCAGCCGCCAAGCTGCATAATAAAAAAAAAACCAAAAAACCCATGTGAGGAATCCGCTCTATAATGCTAACTAGGTGATGCTTATTTACATCAGCCACGGCGTTGTAAATAAATTGTGAGGCTCATTTTGCTCAGCTTGGGAGAGAGAAGCAGACCCCAGGTAGGAGCCTTGATGTCCATCCCTTGCCTGTTTGAGTTTCCCTGGGCCATGGGAGCCATTAGCCCCACATTGCTGTTCCTCACAGTGAGGGCAGGAGTGGGGGGTCCATCCCACCAGTGACCAAACTCCACGGACTCACACATGACCTCAGCCACTGCCATCTGCTGGCTCGCTTTTCTGGGGTCACACCACCTTCACCCCAACATGAAATAAAAACGATTGGAAGGTGAAAAATGTTAAGAAAATGTAGTAACACCTCATAAAATTGTTGTGAGAGCCGCTTTAAAAGGGGCTTGCTTTACATTGGGTCACTCAGAAATGAAGTGTAATTACTCAGGATAAAAATCCAGCTTCTAAATGCAAATGCGTGCAACAGACCATCACCCCGATGGGGAAGAGGGGCAGCAGTGGGTTTTATGGCAAGGAGCTTTCAGCAGAACAGGGGCGAGTGGAGAGGTGAGGA